GGTTTTTTTTCAGTTAGTTTTTCCTGAAATTTTAATTTTTCTTTTAATTTCTGGACTAACCCAAACCTCTTACGTACTTCTCAGTGAACAATAATATAAATATATTTGTGGAATACCACTGACATTATTATTTTATGATTTATAAAGTATTGTCATATATATATTTTTATTTAATTATTACACCTGTGCAACAGATGGTCAGGGCTCTCCGTCTTCATCTTTAAAGTGGGTTGGAGAGATTGCTAGTTCTGACTCCTCTAGAACTTGAACTTGTGTGTGATTTTTCCAGATCTACCACTGTTTTCACCCTGTGAATTAAATCTTGGGGAAATCCTTTGGTAGAACAAAGAATATTTTTGCATTACCTAAAGCATATATATAAAGATTTTTATTTAATACTCTATTTACCAGTTTGGGTAAATTAACACGTATTTCTGTGTAGCCTAGTTTTAAGTGTCAGAATATGTTAAATGATTTATACAGATAGTTTACTGAATTTTCTGTTTTTATACTAGAAAAAGAAAGTCTTACCTATTGAATGTCAGAAGAAATTCAGATTAAATGTAATTGTACCCAACTATTATAATGTATCTGGGGGTACATGAAAGGATTTCCTTTGAGCAGTTACATGAAATGCATTCTTACTTGGTGTTAATTTTATTGCTGACAGCCATTTGCCCTTTAGGAATATAATTCTGAAAGCTGGTATAAAGAACCACAGTTTCACTAATATGGATTGACAAGACTATCTTGAAAGAACTGGCTAAGTGTGATAGGGAACATGTAGGCTGACTACGGGTGAGCACTTTGGAGGTCCAGGTTAGGTGTCTTGGAACCATCAGTGAGAAAGGATAGGTCCTGGTGAATTGCTTTAAAACAAGCATCAGCTTCTAATGGTATGCATTCTTAAATCGTCTTTATTGGATTTTGAACTGCAGTTTTATATAATATGCTCTATTTGTTAGGAGAGGTATATATTTTAGAGATTCCCATGAACAGGCAAACCTGCCTATTATAAGCATAGGTACTGAGGTTTAGTCTTTAAGCACTTACCTTTAACACTTGCTTCTCTCTCTCTAGGAGGGGCTATCTGTAGGCAGCCTATGTGATTGAGGATAGAGCAGCAGCAGGAAGCAAGAAATATTAGAAATCAAGAATCCTGAATTCCCAAATAAGGAAGGTTTCCTGTTCTTACATTTAAATATGGGTTTGTCTGAGCTGGGAATTTACAACGCTTCAGAATACTAGGGTATGTTTTACTGAAATCATTAGGAAGATTATTTTCTATAAAAATTGCCTCCTTGACTGATATAAATAACCTTAGTATAGAGCATTCACATTAAAATGTATGCTCTGTTTTTTAATACACATTACACTGTAAAGCAATGAGCAAATTCGGTTAATTTTTTAGTTGTATCGTATAGTCAAATGGTGTTGTTAGACTACTTGATTATGAAACTAAATTAGATACTTTAAGAATTATTGAAAGTCATTAAGTGAATATTGAAGGATATTTTGTTGTACATAAGGAATCAGAATGGTTAATAATTGAGGGATATTTTTATTGTATTTAAAGAAACAAAATTTGGTATAATTATCTTTAAAATTCCTTTTTAAAAACAATGAGTATAATATTAAAAGTTTTCTACATTAGTTTAAAATGTGAACTTTTAAGATCTCACAGCTTAGAACTTTAATCAGTCATTCTAGTAATATAAGCTCTACTTTGAAAATGAAAATTAAAATATCTGAGATTTTTCTGGATGGATTTCTGCTGGATATAAGGGTGAGGTATCCATGAGAATGCCTTAAAATTAGGCCAATCCAAACCATTTTTTAAAACCTACTTGTAAAAATTTTTCTATTTGTATTATGTGTAATTGAATGCTTTATTAATAAACTTTGGTATGTATTAAATTAGCCTTATAATGTTCTTACAGTATACATTAACAAAAAAATAAAGATCCACTTAATTTTTTAAAATATTTTGATTTTTCATTGAATTCTTCCTTAATCACTCTTAATTTATTGACATACTCTATGAAAGCTTCACTTGGGATAACTTAATTTCTTTTCTATTTATTTCCCCTTTGAAAATGCTTTGCTAAGCTTTGTGAGGTCAGAAAATGGATTAACACTGTTTCTTAGCCATAGCAAAGATAGTTTGTGTACCATAGACAGCTTGTTTTCTAATCTGTGCTTTCCTTAACTGGGGAAGATAATGAGCCAAAAAAAATTAACTTGTTTTCTAGTGTTAACTAAATTATCTTTAGGAAATTTAAGTATATACAGATTGTAATGATATATAGTAGTTTCCTGACGACTACTTTTTTTCCTCTTATTTTCTTTCTTTTTGTTTTTGTAATAGCAGTGGAACTCTCTCTTCACATGAAACTTTAGCCAAATCCAAGACAGTTATGCTTAAGGAAAAAAAAAGTGAAAATCTCACTCAGAACCCCGTTATTTGAAACAAATCAAAATGGAATGGCTCAGGTTAAAACCGTCAAATTGACAGTCATAAAGGAAAAAATGCCATTTAGCTGATGTCAACACAGGAAATTTAATAAAGAAAAAGATTATGTAACTTCAGTGTCTTTGAAAGATTTGAATCTGATAGAGTAAATTTCTTTAATGTGGCTTCTTTGGATCTTAGTGTTACAAATTGAAATATCTAAGCTAGAATAATAAAATACTTTAATTCCCATATGTGTCATGAAGTTACAAATTCCAATAAAAATCATTAAAAATTTGTCTCTCTCGCATGTGTATATATATCATATTGCAGTTGTCTTTTGTTAATCAAGTTTTTTTGTTAGTGTAGTGAAGCTCGTTGGTGTTTACAGGACCTTACATAATGCTATAGTATATGGCACATATTCTTCTAAGAATTATTAACTTCCATTAAATCCCGTAAAAACCTTTAGAGGTAAGTTGTTCTTACTTTCACAACTGACGTAACTGAGGCACAGAGAGGCTATGTAACTTGCTTAGGTTTATACATAAGAAGGATATGAAAGTAGACAGTAAATGCAGAACCTCTATGCACCTGTTACAATAGTTTTTTAAAAAACATGGAAGGAAACAGATTTTCACTTATTTACCTAAATTTACCTTTAAAATAGATACAAAAATATATTTTGAAACTTTGGTAAAAATAGGAAGCACTTAAACGATTTTACTTTTAAATATTCTTTTAAACTATAAATGTAGCATTAATATAAACTCTAACCTAAGAAATTTCATACAGTTATGTTAATGTGATAAACAATCACATAGTTACAATGTTGAGTTCTTTGAACTAGAATTACTATTTGCAATGTATTATTAAAAAGATGTGGACTGCTTTGTTGCTACTTGTAGCAAAGCTTCTTAAGGTTAAGTTTTCTGTAGGGAAAGTAATAGCATCCTAAATTCATAGTACTTGAGAGTAAGCTGAACTGGCTTCTTGTACCTGTCTGAACTGATTTAATATAGTAAATTCACATTTCCTAATTCAAATGTGATGAAGCATTTTCTTATCAAAGCTGATTTATTTACAGGAAAAAAAATAACTTTTTAATAGAGTAGTAAATAGAGTAGTTTATATTTTGGCTGCTCCTGAAGTGATTCATGAGCTTTGTGAAAATATGTTAAATGATAAGTGACCACACATAGTCCTTTCGACCTGTACTATTATAAGCATATCTTGATGATGTGATAAAGCCCACAAAGGCAAAGATCACAACATTTTCCACTAAGGAATAATACGGTTTATCTAGATTCCATCACTATCTTTGGTCTTTTAGACTATTGCTATTAAATTGTTAAAATTGTGCTTTACTTTTGTAACCGTAAGTATTAATAATATCATCTTTTGGTATTTTCTTCATAGGCTACAGAGTCTTCCCTCGTACCCTAGTAGAAAACATAACTCCATTTTTAAGTTATTTAAATAATATAAACCCATTCTTACAGCAATATTTAATAGTATTGTCAGAGAAACTCTTAATTATAGTTAATGCACAGAAATTTTGAAAGGACAGGAAATATATCAAAATAAATAACATTGATTTATAGTCATAGAATGAGGGACCAATTTCCTCAATAAATAAAGAACACCTACAATTCAATTTGAAAACGACTAGCCACCTAATTAAAAAGTTAGGCAAAGACCATTAATAGCCTAAAGGAACTTTGAATAGCCCTTAAAAATATGAAAATATGCTCAACCCTACTCATATAAAAGGAAATATAAACTAAAACTATTATGGGATAACATGCTTTTAAGAATGGAGCAGTTCTGAGTTACTATTATGAACCAGTCTAAGATATGTAATTAAGAGGAAAAAAAACAATTCAGTTCAGCCTATGAATTAATTATATTAAAATGATACATACATGTATACACATTGGTTATTTACAAAAGGATATTTAAGAAACTGCCTCTGGAGAGGTCTTCTAGGTAGCTGTTGGGAGGGGTGGAGGAATACATTTTTTTCCCATATCTTTTTAAATATTGCTGGCATGACTACCTATTTAGAATAACCTTTGGGAGAAAAATATTAAGGCATAGAATATTAAACTCTGTAAGGGACTTGGCCGAGACATTCCTTTTACAGCTGATTTAGAGTTGCCTTAGTTTAACATAACAGCCAGCTTTATATCACAGAGCTGCTGATATCAGCCTAGCTCATCTTTTGTTTTATCACTAGTTCTCAACTGGGCAACACTTCTTAATGGGATCTTAATAACAGATCCTATCTCTTCTTCCTCATTGTATTCCAATTATCTAGCATTCTGGAGGTGTTCAGTAAATGTTTGAATGAATGAAACAAATTTAAGGTATTTATTGCTCGTGGCATGGTATAGGCTGAGAGTATTTCATCTTTATCTTTGAAAGAAGAAAAAATATTTTTGTTTCCAGTTACAATGGAAAATTTCCAAGTGTATTTACTGTAGTATAATTTCAATCTATTCTAAAGAAACATTTGTAAAGATATAATTTATTAATCGTTTTTCAGACACTGGCTTCATGTCCTATTGACCGAAAACCTTTCCAGGCAGTGTTTAAATTCAGTGCATTGGAAGGCTATGTTAAGGTAAGTCTTAGATTTTGTTTTGAAGTGTGAACTACATAAAGTTAATTGAGGCTACTGTGCATTGATAAATTTCCAGTTTGTATATATTTGAAAGTTGTTCTACTTTAGGTTTACTATGTGATACTATATGCCTCCTCAGCATGACAAAGTCAGACCTTTCAATGGGGATACTGAAATACTGAAGCTTTTTACCTTTGCTCCCTAAAGAGGGCATACCCATAGTGGTCACCTTGTAATATTCCACAAAATATATTAGAGCTCTGTTGCTTTAAAAGAAGTTTCATACTGAGTCTTCATTACAGAATACTTACATTTTTAGACTATCTTAAGCATGAGGACTCCTGTATTTCAAAAACATTTTTTAATTGGATAGCACTTCAAATACATTTTTTCCACTGAAAAAATGTTTGAAATGGACTATTAGATTCAAACACCAACCCCCACTTAAGTCCAAAATACCTAAAAACTATGTTTTCATGAAAAACATTATAATTTTGAGATTAGTCAATAAAAGTAAATATAAAATGATGTTTTTGTTCTTAAATGCTGGTTACATCATTAAGTGTCTATGTAAGGTAGGAAAGGGGATAGAAGCAATGTACAACTCTTTAAGCATTAGTTGTTATCAGTGTAGGTATTTATAATTTGTTTTTATATATTTTTAAGCAGGTGAGTTTTGATGCAAGATACAAACAAAACTGCAATTCAAATAAAGTGATATATGTAAAAAATTAAAGTGTGGCTTCTCTGGAAGACATACTCTCTACTTTTCCAAACTATATGTGCATGCTTAATTAGGACGAACTGGCTTCCAAAGATATTTTTCTGTGAAACTTTGTTCTGTTGCTTAGAATAAAAATTTATGTTTATTTGATAGGGGTTGTATTGTGTTTAAATTAAAAATTTGGCACCCTGCTAATCTAATTTTGTCTAACTTAAAAGAGATCTGTCATTCGAGATATTTTCCACATTCTCCTAATGTCTTCCTTTGACTTTAGCTTCTTGTGAATCTTCACAGTATTACCTTTTTCTCTTTACAGTGAAACTTCTTGAATGAGACATTTACCTTTTTTTCAATTCTTACTTTTTAACTCCCATAGAGTTCATCTTATTTTGCTAAAACTGTCGTCACTATGGTCCAGACTAATCTTCTGACTTCCAAATCCCATGGTTTGTTTTCTGCTTGTAATGTTGTTGACTACCCTTTACTTCACTTTGGCTTCTAGGACAGCCTTCACTTGGCGGGGGAGGGATAGAGGGAAAGGAGAGAGAGAGAGAGGGAGAGAGGAGAGAGAGAAAGAATGTTTTACTTATCTGACCTTATCTTAATCTTCTTACCCTTCTGTTCCTTTTCTTAATTACTGGGGCTCCTCATAGGGTCTTCATTTCAACTCTCCGGGTATACTTTCTCCCTAAGTCTTCTCAACTATTCAGTAGCTTTAAGTACTACCTATATTTGGAAGGCTTCTAAAATTCTTGTCACTAGCCTGCATCTCTTTACTGAGAACCAGACCAATATTTACAATCACTTGTTGTACGTCTCTATCTAGAATACCAAAGGCATCTAAACAGTTACCAAATCCTGAACTCATCTCTTTCCCTACCCCATTCCTCAGCCCTAATTGTTAATGGAATTACAACCCTAACTGATTCATTCTCAATGCCACTGCCCAAGTTATCTTCCTAAAAAAAGAAATATGGTCATCTGATTCACTTACTTTAAAAATTCCACTTACTCTCTGATGCCTATAGAATTATTTTATTATTCAAGGACCTTTATAGTCTGGTCCTAAGACGTTTGATCAACTTCATATCTTGTTACTCTTTTTTTTCCCCATCTACTTTGACTTCTCACTGTTCCTTATAACTCTGTTTTCTTTCCTCCATCTAGAATACTCTTTTCTTAAACAAATTACTACCCATTCTTTACTACCAACTCATAAATCATCTACTTATTAAAGTCTTCTATGACATCCTCGGAGTTAATT